CTTCCTAGTGCACACAACACTCCGCAGGAACAGGACAATCTCGTTCTAAATGTGGGACAGCTTGTCTGGTGGTAAACTGGCTTGGAAGGTAGTGGTGTCGAGAACTATGCCCAAGAAAACGAGCTTGGTGGAGGGACCGAGTGTTTTGCTGGGTGACAAGGGGAGTGTCGTAAAAAAAGCTGTGGTGGAGTGTATGCAGTGAGGGGATTGTGAACCTGGTTCTATCAATAGAAAATCGTCTAGGTAGGTGATGACAGAGGGGCACCTGAGTATATTTAGGAGCAGCCAGCAGAGGGTTTCTGCAAAGATATCGAATAACCTGGGGCTGCTCCTAGAGCCAAAAGTGAGCCGAGTGGCGAAAAAATACCTGTTTCTCCATTTAACACCGTGTAAGTGCCATAGTGAGGGGTGAATAGGTAGTAGTTTGAAGGTGTTTGTTATATCTGTTTTGCTCAACCAAGCCCCACTACCTGCTAATAAGATGGCCTCCATGGCATCATTAATTTTAGTATATTGCAGTGAGAACTCCGTGGCGGGAATGAGGGAGTTGATACTAGGAGTGGAGGAAGAGTGAGGTGCGGAGAGATCAATAATTTAATGTTTTTTGTTGGAGGATTTGTGAATGGCTATACCGATGGGATTGGTACGCCAAGATGAAAAAGGTGAAGACAGAAACGGGCCGATCATAAAGCCGGCTGTGATTTCTGTAGACAGAAGGTGGTCCACAGTGAGTGGGTCAGTGGAAGGGGATAAAAGGTTAGGGCATTCAAGTGTACCTGTGGGGATGGCGATAAGGCCTGTGTGAAACCCCTGTGAAAAACCCGTCACCAGATAATCTACCAGGTGCCTAGCTGGATGTGACTGGAGATAGTATTCCAGGATGTCAATGTTAACTTCGGTCATACGTTTCTTAGGTGAGAGAAGGGCTGGGCAAGTGGACTTGGTGTGGGTTCTGAAGCATATGGAGCAGATGTGCAGTGCCCCGCATGTCGTGAGATTACATACCCTGGCGTTAAAGTCACTGCACACCCGAGCCTTGCCCAGAAATGTAATGGGAAAGTCCGGCGTGTCACTCCGACCGGCACCCTGACTAGTGTGTGGGGTGGGAGGGTGGTAAGCCATGAAAGTGACTGATGTGCTAGTGAGCGTAGTTTGGGAGGTCAGCAGTAGGGACATGGAGTTAACGTCATTACCCTTGGAAATGCCCTTTCTGATGGAGTCAGGGACAGGGTGAGCCAGGGAAACATATGAAGTGGGTATGGCTGAGACCATCAGGGGAAGGTTTGCCGAGCCCAACAAGGCACCTGGTGTGGCTATAGCGAATTCCAGTTTCGCTAGTCTGTGATTGATCATTTGTAGGTTGGTGAGTATAGCAGCCAGGGTTTCTCGTGTGGAATACGAAGTGTGAGCTGGCAGGATTTGTGAACTACCGTCTGGCCTGGGAACGTTGGCCTGAGTGGCCATTAGCCTATATAGTTCAGCATTTTTGGCCGTGGCAGGAAAGGGGATACCCCTGCTTCTGAGCTCTGCTGAGATTTTTGGAATGGTCCAGTATCTCAGGGACCTGTGGGAAAAGGGGGTGAGGGATTTCTCCGGAGACCCAGGCCTGATTGGCGCGCTGGCTATGTTGCCCGATGGTAGATTGGTGATCGGCTTTTGTGACATCTGAAAGAGAATAATGATTTGAATAAGTAGGGTGAAGAGGAGATGAAGGTGAGACCTCCGGAGAACTGGCCTGCTAGCTAGTGCCGAGGCGAAAAGTTTACCTAGACCAAGTGACAGGTGAGGCCCTGCTAGTGCCAAGTGGTGGAGAGAGGCTCTACCTATGATTTGGCCCGAGGGGATATTTTGGCCACATGCACGTGGTGGCGGGGTGTAGGCCTCTCGGTGACTGTACAGAGAGTCAAAACGTGTGGCCGTGACTTGGGAAGCCCTGGCTATAGCCCACAAGAAGGGCGAGCAAGGTGGCTAACTATGATTTGGTCGTGGGCCGAACCTCCGTGTATGAGGTGGGGGTGTAGACCTCGCGGGACCGGGTATTGATTAGATAGCTAAGGCCAGAACCTAACCCTAGGAGCCAGTTCTCTAAACTATTGGGGCTTGTCTCTCACAGTGATGTATATGTACATATGTGAATACTTAACCTTGAGTATAAGTCCTGTTTGTTCGGACAAAGCACATGTAGACTTCGATATGGTTATAAATTCTGCAGAAAACGGGCTCGATCCAGAACCTAAGGGAAAAGGAGATGCTAGTGGGCCTGAGGTGTGCCACCGGTGTGCCAAGTGTGAAAATGTAGAACGTATGGGTAGGTGTGTACCAGAGATACTGTAACGTAGGCAGGAGTAAGCTGAGCGACCTGAAGGTTGGTCCATAATA